TTTCCCTTTGGTGTTGCTGTAGGTGATCTGGAAGTCTGGTTTTGAGACTTATTTATGTGTTTTCTCATTTCGACTGGGGGGGTGGGGGGCTGGTGTTGGCGCCCGCCAGGATCACCTCCTCTGAGCTGGGAGAGGTGGGACAGGGGCCGGGAACGGTGATAGGGATGGTGGCCCAGAAGCCCCTTCCTCTGGGCTGGGAGCGCCGGGACAGAAGGTGGCCCAAAAGCCCTTTCCTCTGGGCTAGGGGCAGTGAGAGGGATGGTGGCTGGGAAGCCCTTTCTTCTGGACCAGGAGCAGTAAGACAGCGGGTCAGAAGCCACTACCTCTGGGCCAGGAGCGGTGGGAGGGATGGTGGCCTGGAAGCCCCTTCCTCTGGGTTGGGAGCAGCAGGAGGGATGGTGGCCGGGAAGCCCCTTCCTCTGGACCAGGAGCAGTAGGACGGCGGCTCAGAAGCCCCTACCTCTGGGCCAGGAGCAGCGGGAGGGATGGTGGCCCAGAAGCCCCTTCTTCTGGGCTGGGAGCAGCGGGATGGATGGTGGCTAGGAAGCCCCTTCCTCTGGACCAGGAGCAGTGGGGTGGTGGCTCAGGAGCCCCTACCTCTGGGCCGGGAGCGGCGGGACCCAGTACTGTGGTCTGGTGGTTGGGTGTCCTCTGCGCCTTTGTAATGTGGAACCAGGTGGCTGTACAGAGGAGCGGGGGCAGGGGTGTCCAGTGGATTGCTGCCGGGGTGCGGGGTGATTCGGCGCACGACCTCCGTAGGGCGTCTGCAGACCTGCCTGTCTGCGGCGGGCTGATTCAGCGTGTTCCACACGACTCGCCTGTTTTTCTAATGTCAGCATTCACAACTATAAAATTCCCTCTTGGACCTGCTTTTGTTGTGCCACATAGATTCTGGTATCCTGTACTGACTGTACTGGCTTTTTCTTTCATTCTAGGAACTAATTTCTTCTGTGACTCATTGATTTTTCAAGTGTACTGTTTAATTTCCATGGATTTGCATAACTTCTGTAGTTTCTTCTGCTGTTGATTTATAGTTTCATCATGCTATGATCTGAAAATATGCATGGGATAATTTTGATTCTTTTGCCTTTACTTATTCATACTTTATGGGCTAGCATGTGGTCTATTTTAGAGAAATTTCCATGTAAGTACAATTTGTATTCTTTTGTTGTTGGATTAATCACAGTATAGATATGTATTAAGTTCATTTGTGTTTCAACTCTAATATTTCTTGATTGATTTTTTTTCGGTGTAGTTGATCTGCTGTGGTAGTGGAGTATCGTGGTTCCCCAATATAATTGCATTACTGTTTATCTGATCTTTTATGTGTAGTAGTGGTTTCTTTTATGGAGTTGGGTGTATGGGTGTTCAGTGCTGTTATGTTTACAATTGTTACCTCTTCCTGTTGAATTGTTCCCTTACTAGGTAGTGACCTTCTTTGCCTCTTCTGATTATCTTGGCTTAATCACTTTGGCTGAAAATAAAATAGCTACTCCTGCTTGTTTTCAGATTCTCCATGCACAGACCTTTGATTGACTGATTGACTGATTGATTTTGAGATAGGGTCTCACTATATAGTTTAGACTGGCCTTGAACTTATGTAGCCCAGGGTATCCTTGAACTCATAGTGATCCTCCTGCCTCAGCCTCCCGAGTGCTGGGATTATAGGTGTATGCTACCACTCCCAGATCCATCTTTTGATTTTTAGTCTGTGAATTTCTTTTTGGATCATATGTTTCTTGTATACAGCATATCATTGGATTTTGTTTGATTCATTCTGCCAATCTGTGTTTTATCATTGGAGAATTGAGACCATTCACACTTAGAGAGTTATTACCAAAAGGTACTGAGTTATTCCTTTCATTCACTGCATTATGTTCCTCTTGCTGGTTCCTTTTTTCCCCTTTGCTTAACTTTTCACCCTGCCTTGTATGTTCATTCTATTAGATTTTGGGGCATTGTTGGCTTTAGTGCCACTTTTACGGATATCCTTGAGAATTTATGGAGTCCTGGTTTTGTAGTCATTAATCTTTTAACATTGTCTTTATCATAGAAAGACCTTGTTTCTCTATTAATTCTGAAAGGTAGTTTTGTAGGGTATATCAGTTGTTTTCTTTTAGGGCTTGAAACACTTCACACTCTCCTGGCTTTTAAGGTTTGAGTTGAAAACTGCTGTAATTCTAATGGGTTTTCCTTTATAACTATTTTGTGGCTTTTCTCTATATTACTGTCCCCCTCTCCCAATACAAAATAGAAAAATATAAAAATTCTCAAGACCACTTCTTCCAAAATTCTACCAATCTTGGGAGAGGAGAACTAAGAAGAAAAGGGGGGATGGTTAGGAGTCTCCTCTTAAATTAGGAACAATTAATTTGATAATTGATTAAAAGCATAGTTTCTTCTCATGAACTCAGCTAATCCTGTTACATTAATACCAGAAATATCAGGAATTGGGTTCTCTGAATGCCATCAATGGGATCAAAATCAAATATGAATAGAAGCACTTGTATCTTACAAGAATCATCATAATTCTTTATCTAAGATGTGTGTAGATCTTTATATAGTCAACAAGTCATCTTGATCACTGTGTTTCTATTTTTAGTCTTACCTGATCTAAGTGGGGAACTCTGGGTAGTTTTGACTCTTTTGGGTGATACTATTTACTGACCTTGCTCTTAACTGTTGACTAGCTACCTTGAAGTCCGACTCACTAGCCACTTCTCCCGAAAAGGGTCTCTGCCTTTCTCCCTCCCCTCCCTTCTCCTTTCCTCTCCTTTTCTCTTCTTTTCATCTCTAACCTCTTTCTTTCTTTACCCCCGTCTCCTTTACTCTTCTATGATTTTCTCAGGGCTGGGCTTCAACATCGTCGGTGGGACAGATCAGCAGTATGTCTCCAACGACAGTGGCATCTACGTCAGCAGCATCAAAGAGAATGGGGCTGCGGCCCAGGATGGGCGGCTCCAGGAGGGTGACAAGATCCTCTCGGTGAGAACTGGCTTCAGCTTTCTTTGCTGTTCTTTGATTCCCTAGACTTTAAGCTCTTCCCTTGGCCACTTCCTGCCTGCTGTTTTTGGATCTGGAACTATCCATATTGTATAGTTGAATCGCAGGTAGCTTGATCAATCTTCCAACCGCACCTTCAGGTTTGGAGGATGATATTAACCTTCACTTGACAGATAAAGCAAATTAAATGCAGAATGTGAAGGTACTTGCCCAGATTAAAAAACCGCAGCAGAGAGAAATGAGCAGTTTAGGTGGGGAAGAGATTTAATACCCACAGATTTTATGTCTCTTTCATTACTTCATCAGCTCTCTTTTGTCGATTGAAACGCTGATTTGTGTCTTCTTTGGAAGGAGTATCATAAATGGAGTTAATGTCAAAGAAGGAAGATAGAAATAAAGCATCCTTTTCAGACTCAGAGCCCTTTCTCACTTGTTATTAAGATGACAAATTGGAATGCAGTTTGATGTGGATATCTGTCAACTGAGTCCCATTTTATCCTGCTAATGTCTCTTTATTACACAGTTATCGTTAATTTTTTGGAATTTCCTCAAGGGCAAGAACCATATCTTCTTTTAGCTTTTTATATCATAGCATAGTGCCCAATATGTTTAACAAATGAACAAGTTGGGAAATTCAGGAAAAGATAGAAAGGCTGACTGATAAATATGGGCCTAAGGAGCACTAGTCTCAATGTCAATTAGAATAAGCTTACCTCAGAATACAGGCAAAGTAAGACTTTTTAAAAGCATTAAAATGCATAGTATACCTCTGACTATACTTTTCATTTCTGTTCCCTACTGTTGGCTACAGTATCGTTATGATAGTATCAGTTATGGGGGTTAGGTTTTTAAAATTAACTATCAAGGTTAGCTAAAGATGGTCAGCTTGCTACATAGAAACAATACAGATGATTGATGTAAACAGTGGAGAAGTTTTCAAGGAGTGATGTGTTATCTGGGATATTCCTGGGAGTTAGAACTGGCTTCAGAGAGGTAGGATTAAAGGGAAATTTGGATTTAGGATAGAGCTTTCCATAGCAGAAGTGCCTTTTTCTCCACATGGGCCAAGAACTATGGCCTATGGTCTAAAGAGGAGAAAAGTGCTTTCTCTCATGAATTGAATAAGGTAGAAAGGCTAACTTGAAAAAGGCCTGAAATAAATTAATGACGTACATACTAAGAGAAGTCTTACTTAAGAGAGTTAAATATTTGTCTCAGAGATGTGATTTTGAACCTGTCTCCATAAGATAGGTGTATCCTTTTGAAGATGGTATTATAGTTTTAAATTTTCCCTTTTGAATTGCATCTCATGCAGTTCAATTGACCAGTGATTAAAGATCATATGAAGTCTTTGGGTCCTTTCCCTTTCTCTTCTACTCTCTCTCCTCTTGCCTTCCCCTCCCCTCCCCTCCTTTGCCTTCCATTTCTTTCTTATTATTTTTCCTTTTCTTACAGTCCTTCTGATTAAACCCAAGGGCTCACACAGGCTAGGCAAGCACTCTACCACTGAGATACTTCACCAGCTTTTTAAATTTAATTTTATTATTATTTTTTTTTCTTTTTGCTACTGGGGATCAAACTCAGGACCTTGCCCTTGCGAGGCAGGCGTGGCACCACTGAGCTAAATCTCTGGCCCTTTTTAATTTTTTTATTTTGAGATGGGGAGGGTCTTGCTAAATTGCCAGCCTGACCTCTATCTATCTTGAGATCCTCCTGCCTCCATCTCCAAGTAGCTGAGATTATACACATGTGCCACTGTGCCCAATTAAGAATCTTTCTTAAGAATACATCCTACTTAATGCAGATTGAAGTCTATCACACTGATTATTTTTACCATGTTTCAGCCCATCAGGATTCTCCTAGGCTTTATTTATTTGTGAGATGAAGACAGTGATAATCTACCTTTTCTCTCAAAGGGATATTAAAGAGTTTAGAAGCAAATTATTTCCTGCACTGTATCTCCCAGGAGAAAGGCATCCTAAAACTGTGAATCAATGTTAGTGGTGTAGTAAGGAACAATTGAGAGTGGGTTGTTAAAATAAAGGTACGGCATGTAGTTAGAATCTATGTATTTAATATTTTGACATATAAATCACAGTCTTTCCAAACACTGAAGCCTGGACTCCATGGGTGAAGAAAGAATTGAATAGAATAAGGGTTAAGAAAAAAGCCATCTTATTTGAAAAGCTTTGGTTACCAGTAGATTATTGCAGAGTGAGAATGGTGAAAAGGTTTAGACACTAAGAGTGCTAAGAACTTTAAATTTAATCTTATTTAATATTATGATAACCTTATGAGATGGATGTGATTATTATACTCATTTTGTAGCTAAGGAAACTGAATTTAATGAAGTCAAGCAGCTTTCTCCAGGGCACACAACTAGTAAGTGATACAGAACTAAAATTTCTGTTTACTTAAATTTGGAGTATTTTAACCAGTATATTATTCTGCCTTCTCTAAGGTAAATAAGGAGGGGCCGGGGATGTGGCTCAGCGGCACTGCACCTGCCTGGCAAGCACAAGGTCCTGAGTTGGTTCCCCAGTACTGGGGAAAAAAGAAAAAGGCAAATAAGGAGCTGGGATTAGTTATCCTAAAAAGAAAGTTTCCTGGTGAGTTAGCAGTACATGTTAAGTATAGTTTTATATAAAAACTGAATTCACTTTCTATAAAGGATAGAATTAGGAAAAAAATGATATAAACCTCAATGTAAAAGAATGTATTAGGTAAAGATGAGATGAACTTTTCTTACATGAGCTATTGTCTCACAATTATTGGAAGGCCTTCCAAGTTTTAAAAAAATGACTGGGGGATAATGATAGAGATAAATGTCAATGAATTGAATAGTAGATGTCTAAAAATCTTAGTTCTCTTAACTTTAAAATTTATAGCAAAGAAGAATTTCTCAAAATACAAAAAAAGGAGAAATATTACAAAGAAATATAATAAACATTACATAGATATAAAAAAGACACATTGCAAAGAATGAGGTATGTCTTTGTTCTGGTGAATTAAGGAAAAGACATTCAAAAGAGCAGAGAAAATTCCAGGGGTTGAAAGGCAAAAATAGAAGACAGCCATGGGGGAGATAGAGAAGACAGAAAAAGATGGAGCATGTGCAAGAGGAAAGGGCAGTATATCCTCTCTACATTCCTCTTACTCCTAGTTCCTAGCTAAAGTTCCTTAAACAATAATATGAAAGACTCTCTGCTGCCCCTCTCATCCGTGATAGTCTATTGCCAGTCTGTCCTTAAGTAAACCTGTTAGGTCATAATCATTAAATGGTTCCCTCTATTTTGCTCGTTTCATCCCTTGAATACCGTATACTTATGCAATCAGTTATTATTGGCTTTGATATCTATTTTTTTTTTTTTTTGGTACCGGGGATTGAACTCGGGACCTTGTGCTTGAGAGGCAGGTGGTGGAACCACTGAGTTAAATCCCCGGCCCCTGGCTTTGATATCTCTAGAAAATGTGGCTAAACATTATTAGCTTATATTCCATTTATTATTTATGGATTTTTCTATTCTCCTGATGTGGATTATTTTTCCTCGATGTAAAATATGCCCCATTTTTTCCTAGTAACTTTTGCTAGATAACCAAACTAAAAATATGTTCCTTCCTTAGCACACATCTATTTTAGGTAGTGGAAGTATCATTAGGTGATTTTGTATATTTCTTGTGAGGTATTATTGACTAATCTTTCCATCAAATGGAATGCCCACATGTTGATTTTAAGTTCTAAAATTGAATAACTACCTGATGTATCATCCAGCTGCCTCTTTTCTGATCGAAAGTGAAGTTTAATTTTTTGACTACTGTGTATGGTTTAAAAAATTTTTAAAAAAGAATTTTTTTAACTAATCAATGTAAGTAAATTTTAAGATCATGTTGCATCTGAGACAAAAACGTATTAGTAACACAAGAATAGACCCTGAGGTTCAGATGAGGGCTAGGAATTCTTTACTCATTGTTTTGTGTGTGTATTGGTTAGTATGGTTTGATATTAGAATAGGTTTCCGTGGAATTTGGGAAAATTTTCTTTTTGTTAAAAGAAATATAAACGAAATGAAAGGAGATAGTCAAGCATGGTCAGACCTCCTGAACTTTATGTTATTATAAAGCTCAGTGTGAGGCAGGTAGTTATTATATTGCATAGGTGAATGCTCCATTTTAACCAAACCCTTTAGAAAACAAAACAGCACAGACTGAGCCATTCACCAGCTGCATTTCTTATTATGTTCAAGTACAATTCTTAATTGGGTGAATGAAAGAGTTGGTTAGCCATCAATATTTATCAATTATTGCACTTGCTGACCTTCAGAATACTATGCCAGGTGCTAGGGAGATTCACAAAGAAATAAAAGACTGGTCTTTGCCATTAGATTAGAAAACAATAGGAAAGACCCAGCAAAACCCTCATCCAATAAACTGCAGACTCACTGAAATATATAGCAGAATCCTATAGATAAAAATATTTCTTTCAGAGTCTGTCTTATCTCTTTACCTCCAGTCCATAGGCCTATAGCTGGCAGTAGGGTAAACATCTGATTTAATTGTTCAGTGAATAAATCACTCCATTATGACACAGTGACTTTATTCACTGGGCCTGATTAATTGGATTTAGATCAACTTTTTAATTCTCTTTTCAGAAAGAGAAAAAGGTAGTTCATTTTAGGACCTTGGTGAAAAATTAAAATGTTCAGATCGTAGTCCGAGATCATTGTTCATTAAATAGGTCGCATTCTTTCTCTATATGCATTCATATTCTCCTGGAGTTGGAGCTCCTATTTTCCATTATCCTGAGGCAATTCAAAATTCTTATAATCATCCAAGGGAACTAATGTTAACTCAGTTTAGGTATGAACAGGCAACACATTTTTAAAGGCTGCCAACAACAGTTAAAGCAGAATGTTTTATGTTTCCCTATCAGTTAACTAGAACAACAGCATCCTGATTCTCTGAACATTCAGAGGAAGCAAAATTTTCTAACACACTGCAAATTTGCCATATCTAAGTTTCAATATAATTTGTTATGCCAAGGGTTAAGGAAGTTAAAGTTAACGATTCTAAGGTTACTCAGTTGAGTAGCTCTTGGTACTAACAGTGAAGACCACGGACCAGCATCTGGGCAAGACCTAGCCACTTGCTAGAAATGCAAAATCTCAAGTCTTTTCCCAGAGCTGCTGAATCAAAATTGCACCGTGATTGCATTGTACCTGTCCTGGTAAGTCTGCACACTGTAATGCTTGAGAACCACTGTTATAGTAGGCACTCGTGTGTTTTTCAAACTTTTAAAACCATGACCTATAATAGGACTACAGATATTTCCTGTTAATCAAATAGGAATATATGTAGATATATTTGAAACAAAATATTTTTCTGTATGTGATAAATTTTGATGTTTTTGTGTTTCTTTCTAATTTTACTTTTTAAAAATACTCCTCTTGACCCACTAGGTCAATTTCATGATCTTCTAATGGGTCAACAGATGGATATTTGAAAAAGCACCAATGGAAAATCACTAGTGAAATCTGTAGGTGCACAGAGTATGTATTAAATAGAATAAATAGTCTGGGAGTGGAAACCAGCTGGAAGATTGTTTGAGGTGGTGTCGATTAGAACTAGCTTAACTTTAGAATAACTTAGAGGTTGAGAGCTACTATCTCTGGTAGGATGGATAGTGATAAAAAGAGTGAATTCTACAAATATTTAGGGAGAAAATCTATGGAGCTTAGTAATTAATCCATAGACAACTGGAATCTGTAAAATCCTTAGAGGAGGTAAATACTGGAAAGCAAATTAAACTTTGGAGTAGAAATTATTACCTGGAACACTCAGTCAGAGTCCTGAATCTGGGCCACAACTACCTCGATTTGATTGCCTGCCTGTTAGCAAGAGTACGAGAAGAATGGAAAAATGAGCTTATTCACAATTTGGCCATATTGGGAGAGCAGGTAGTCCATTCCCCTGGAGCTCACAGAAGCCCTCCAGTTTATAGAAGGGGTAGAACAAAAGCCAGGAAATGTGCGTGTGTGAATTTAGCAAGGCCTTGGCCCACCAGAGGGACCCAGAAAATGTTGGTACCTCCTTGGTACGAGGGCTGGGTTGTAATAGTTTTTGCTCTCTGCATGAGGAAGCTGGAGAATTGTTTATCTTTTTTAAAAAACAGAAGTTCTAATTTTTAAAGATCTAACGTCTTGATTGCAAAATGACATTATCACGGGGAAAAGTCATAATCATAGTTTGTTTCATGGGGGTAGTTTGTCTTAGGCCAAAGATAATGAAACATTTTATTTTTTAAAGAGAAATTCCCTTTGCATTTCTATGAGTAGTTATATTGTATTTAGGCGTAACTAGAAAGGTCAAGAGGCCTAATAGACTTACTGCTGTTATAGCATCTTTTGCCTGCTGTCACCAATGTCTTTCTTCGTTAGCCAAAGGAGGCTCAAATGAGGGCCAACACCGTGAATCTTTGCCAGGTAGAGCTGCTGTTGGACTCCAGGTTTTTCAGCTCTGTATAATTATGAGATTTTGTCAGTCAGGCTTTCTCCAGTTATGGCTTTTGCGGGGTTCATTCTGCAGGCAAACTTTAGGAAAGAATGTGACATTTCTTACACATTATATAAAGTACTCTTTGGAGGTTGTAAGGGTGATAATGATGAGCTGAGATAACAGCCTCTTCTCGTTACTTACAGTAGAATGTAGAATAATATACAGCAGTTCAGTTTGAGCTTTAAGAGCAGTACATAGTGTAGAGATTGAAAGAAGCGAATCAGACACATTTAGTGAAGTCACACTTTCTAGAAAAACCATGCAAACAAAGTCGCATTTAACTAAATTGCATTTTTCGTTTTAATGCTACTTCAGTGTATACAAAGGAATAAAATACTAATATATAAGCAACTTATGCTTTTATCCACCTACAAATTTAAAATTTTATCTAAAACTTTCAAATATATAAACCATTAAACAAAAGCAAAACAGCAAGGCTAATATAATTTAATGTACATGTTATAAAGTCTAAATGAGTTAATATATGTAGAATGATAAACAGTTCCAGACATGAAAATACTGTGCATATTAAATATTTCCTGGGGTTATTACTGAACACTGTGGTAAAGATGATTTTAAGCTCAGTATTCCTACCATAAATGTCATGGAAGGACCCACTCACATTTGTATTACCATAAAATTTTGGTACCGATGACTGTGATAAAGAGCTGTGACATCATTTAGCGTTTGCCAAAGTGGAATGGAGCTGGAAACTATTAATTTGAGAATAGATGGTCTATAAGGCAAGAGTATTGATAGATGCATTTACCAAAGATCCTAGTAGGAGATGGGGGAACATTACGAACGTCCTGGAAAAGGACAGTTGTGACAAGGAAGAAGAGAGTATTAAATGACTACATCATTAGTGTGTTTGTATGCTTCCAATAGAAAATACCTATTTCTTTACATCGAGAAGTACACTTAACACATGGGCTAGATAACATAAGTGAGCATTCTCACTACAGTCGTAATTTCACAGCTATTCTTCTGGAGTTAATTAGAAAATTGAATCATTGAGTGTTCATTGTGAAGTTCCTCCCCTATGGCATAGCTACCAAGAAAACCGAGGCATAATCAGAAGGTGGCTTGGTAACATGAAGTTCAAAGTCTGTCAGCTAGAAAGTCCATTATTTATTTCTGTACTAAAGACAGCACGACTGATCCGTTTTATGACCAATCTTGGAAGATAAATAGAAATTTGAAAAAGGGAATGGGATTTAGGTGATGGATATAGCTTGAACACAGGAACGAATGTAAGAATATATTGTAGGCTCAGGTTCAGTGAGCTATGCGATGTAGCTAGAACATATGCTAAATGGGCGCTCCAGTGGCACAATCGGTTAGTGCATGGTACTTATGGAACATATGCTAAATGAAAGGGAGTAGTGAGAAATTTAACTGAGAAAGTAGAGGTCTTTATGTACCAGTGTGAGAAGTCAAGCCTTGTTTTTTTAAAGGTTTGACCACATGAAAGTAAATTGTTGACTTATGAGAGTTAGCCTTCTGCTTCGCTTACTACTTTTCCTTGCTGTTTTTGGCAGGTAAATGGCAAAGACCTAAAGAACCTGCTGCACCAGGATGCCGTAAACCTCTTCCGTAATGCAGGCTATGCTGTGTCCCTGAGAGTGCAGCACAGGGTAGGTGTCACTTGCAGCCAGATACTTGGCACCAGATTTTTCCACCATGCTTGTGAATAAACCTGTGGGCGTGTTTTGTTTTGTTCTGGTTTTTTACTGTCCCTACTTTGAAGAGCTTGTCCTTGAGGGTCCTCTGGTACTTATAAAGGAAACTCATAACCGTATACTTGTAATCCAGGTCATACCTTCAAGATAATATTCTTCAAAGATGAAACTTGATAGTCAAATTTCAATAGATGGGTAGAAAAGTAGAATCACTTTTACTTTTTGTTAGGGAAAGACCCATATTGAGACCCATATGCCTGCCCTTGATGACTCTTATTTATAAAACCAACTTAGAAAGTATGTTTTCTGCCTCCCTCTATTTGCTTTTTCCTGTCAGTGCCATGAACTCTTCTCTGATCCATTTTGTGACCCTCTTGACCAAAGCTCTAGTGCTCAAGGGAAAAGGAAACAGAACTCAGAATTCAGTCAAGGCAGCTTCCATCCCTGTATCTGCTTCTTATTTTCTAGTGTGTTTTATAATTTGGATGATGGAAGTATCAGGACACAAAGCTCCTCCCACAGCAATGAGAATTTCTGGGTGTATATTTACAGCACAGGTTCAGTGTGCCTTTACAGTGCTCCTTCTTAAATTGGAACACTCTTTGCCTTACTCAGCAACTGAGGGAGGATTCAGAGCCTCAAGATTGAGAGGAGCTAATTCAAAAATGGTGAAGGCAAAACATGAAAGATATCTGACAAAAACAGCCAGGGTTCCAAGCAGAATATGAGTGTAATGGTTAAAAAACAGATTGGCAAGAGGTAGTATTGGCCATCAGCTGCTTCTGCCTTGGCTCTTCTCTGTTTCTAAGTCATGGGAAAATGTATGTATTAGATAAAAGCAAGTAAAGATAGGCACATAATTCAAATATGGTTAGGGTTCTTTTTGAAGGTATGTAGGAAGTGATTTGCATTGTTCACTTTGGGAAACCTCCATAAAGAACTCATAATAAAACAGACTTGGGTGGTTGGGGAATTGGCTTAGCCTAAAAACTGTGTCTTCCTGTTGGGCGTATTCTCTCAGGACATCTCATCAAGAAATAAATGAAAGATGTAGAGGTGGTATAGAGGATATGAAAAGTAGTTTGTGGAGTCTTGCCCTTCAGATGGAGGGGTCAGAATTGCATAGATTATAACAAGGAGGTTGCATCTAACTGAAACAAGATGCCACCATAATTACTGCAAGTTAGCCAGTAAAAATTGATAGTAAAAAGGCCCAGTCTGTAAAAATGACCAAAATAAAGACAACCTATTCTCAAAAGGAAATACTTAGGCAATAGAAAAATGACAATGATGGTATAGTTTATTTTTACTTACTTACCCCTGAGCCTGTATCTCTGTTGGGGACTATAATTAGGACATGAAGGACAAAACTCTACTTTGGAGGCAGGGAGTACGTTCTGAAAATTGGAAAGCATTTCCAAAGAATGTCATGTACTTGAGTTGACACTGCCTGGATCTGCTCTTACTGCATTCTGATGGCAGGTAATCTTTGTAAGCAAACATTTCCAGGAGATTTCTTCCTTCATCCCCCTTCCCCTGCTCAGTAGTATCTATGTTCCTCACAAGATAATAGATTTCATCTCATATTTTCATTTTCCTGACATGAAGCACACATAGTGAAGTACAGGCAGTACAGAAACAGAAAACTTGCCCCTCCCTGGTCCCATTAGGTCAGTAGCACAACAAAGTTAAAAGCCACCCCATCAGACCTATTTTCTTCCCAGAGAATCTGTGCTGTGGAAAGAATTTTGTCTAGTACAAAGAGAACTCCTTCTGCTAGGTGCTTCCTGGGGTTTGCAGGAGTCTTTGTGTGCCTGCAGACTCAGCCCAGATGATGCGCCAGCCTGGACATTTCAGTTGTGATGAGTACCCAGGAGTCACTAGAGTTAACGTTTCTCTTTCCCTTCCAGTTACAGGTGCAAAACGGACCTACAGGCCATCGAGGTGAAGGGGAGCCAAGTGGTATTCCCATAGCTATGGTGCTGCTGCCAGTGTTTGCCTTCACCGTGGTAGCAGCCTGGGCCTTCATGAGATACTACCGGCAACAGCTTTGAAAGGCTTGTTCTCTTCCAGCTCCCAGTGAACTTAACGTTCCTCTCACCTTCCTTCCCTGCCAGTCTCCCACATCTTTCCTTCTCTCTGTGTAGCCAAAATATGATTTAGAGTGAATGATTCCTACCATGAACTTTGCTGTTCAAAATCCCAAGTCTTCGTATTCTAATGGGGGAGTAAAGGTATTGTTTGAAGGAAAGCTGAAGAAAAGACTTGCATAGAACAAGTGAGGAGTTACATATTTCACCAGGACTGCCCATCGAAATTCAGCTACCGCCCAAAGAGGGAAAAGTCCAGTCTTCCTGTCACCATGGGTGATACTTTCTTTCTTTGCTGGTGTGTCTTGAAAGCCAGCTGTATGACATGAGAGGAAGAGGGGATTTTTCTTTTAATGATCTTCCTTGAGAAGTGTTTCTGGCCTTTATTTAATTTCTAATTACATACCTTTGTGCCTGTTTTGGACACAGGATATTGCGAAGAGCTTTTTACTTTTTGAAAAAAGCCAATACATATATACAGTACATATACATGTGCATATGTGATAGTATAATATTGATGTCTTGTGAAGAATTAAAGAGGTAAGAAAGCTACTCTGTGGTTTCTAGGTTTCTGATCTAAGGAATGATTTAAACTGAAGAACATAAAAAACTATTTGTAGAACCTATGTAGTGGGAATGAGAGTGTAAACTTAAAAAGTGAATGCTCAGTCTTCTTCTCAGAAAAGCTGTGGTAAAACTGAGGTACAGTGCCATAAAACAGCTCTGCTTCAGTGAATCTGTTAAAAAAAAAACCTCTGGGGTTTAAAGATAAGTCTTACCAGTATCTCTGGGCTACCATAGTGACTTTTGTGGTACCCCACAGTGCTGTGAAAAGGTCAGCTGGGATGATTGTGGTCAGGGCTTTAGCAGTGAGTCAAACCAACCCAATGAGAGAACTCTAAAAGGACAGGAGATTAGGCCTCAGTTGTATTACCTGAACCATCTCAGGCTACCTTTGAGTGTTTTTGGTTTCTAGTAACAGGAAAAAACTGAGAGAAAGCATAAAATTATCTCTGTTCTGATTTAGTTATGGTCTGGACCACCAGTTTTTCTTTTAAAAAACTGGCTTTTAATAAGTTAAACTGTCAGAGAAGGGGAGAAAAATGAGTTTTACTTAGTGGGTGTTTCCTAGGGAAAATCCTGGGAGCAGATTATGGATGAATGGAAGCGATGATATACCAAGAATATTGGTGAGGTGGGAACTATCCCAATCATATGACGTTTAGGTAAGTTTTGAAGCACTGAGGTTAGCTAAACCCAAGGCTAATTTCTGGCTTTAATTTCCATTCTCTAGACAGCTGGCCAGACTAGGCTTTATATCATTTTGAAATATGATTATGAGGACTTTTTTTTTTAGACAGTCAGTTATATCCAGTTTTAGAACGTACAGTCTAGCAATCATTTAACAAATGCTGGTTGGATGTCAGCTTTGTCAGGACTCTTTTACAAAGAAGTAAAATACATGACCTTCATCCTAAAGGGTGATTTGATTCAGTTGGGAAGAATATGCTTAAAATAGAATTAGTCACATAAGTAAGCCAATGTAAGTTGGTGTTAAGTTTATACTGCAGACTCTTAAGAGAGAATAATTCATTACTGAGAATTTGAGGCAGTTCAGAAAGTCCCATGGAGAAAGGGAACAAGCTAAGGACCCTTGAGGAGCTGACAGTCTAGTTGAACGAGAGATTTCATGAATAGATGAAATGTTAAGAGTACTGTATATCATCAGGTTAAGTAACCATTGAAAAAAAGTGTTACCGTGCAAAGCATGATGTAGAACAAAGAAGATGTACAGATGACCATCATCTTATTTGTTAGAAATTTGGAAAAGGAAAGCTGTCACATAATGGCATCAGGCCAGAATGGAAAGGGATAGCTTTTAAAAATAAAGGATCCCTGCCTCTGGGTCAACTATTGATGTAGGGAGAATCTTGCTGTTAATAGTCTTGGCATATCTTTTGCCTTTCAACCTGAACTGTTTGGTACTTTTCGAGGCCCATTTAGATAGCCAGACTCACTGTGGGTTCCACAGAGAAACACCAACACTATTCCAGTTCTCATCTCCCCACTTTGGAAGCCTAACCTCTAGTGCCCTTACCTCCCAGATTCCCCTCAGGCCTTGGACATTAACACTGAAAAGACCTTGTGATATACAAAATGGAGCAAATGGAAAGTAGGAAAGAAAACTATTTAGATTTTTTTGTTTGTATATAAAATAAGCACCTAGTCCATTGTTGGTAAAAGTTTGCTTTGGTTGACAATAGGGATTCTGTTGCACTTAAATTTAGGTTTTCTTGGAAATGAAATAGCATTTGAAAACCAAACATTTTAAGGCCTTATGCAAAAATGCTATTCATTGTACTCATTATATGGAAACTAAAAATTATTATAATAGGTGAGGTATCAGAATCCATTATAGGTTATAAAAAACTTATGCTATTTATAGACTGAATCTAATATTTCTACCACCGAAATTAATAATGTTGAAAGCTTTGAAAATTAAATATAGGTATTTTCAAGACCCTATATTTAAATCTTTTCTCGATATTTGTCATTATATATAATACGTATATTTGGAATAAGATATTCTTTGTTTCAATCATCTCTGTTTCCTTTTCCTGCCAAGTTTTAAGTTCTGTGTGAATGATTTCATGATTTAATTGAAACATCTAGCCATGTACAATGGAAAAAAGTTTTATTGGTTATTGCACTCTATACCAGGGCCTATACCAACCTCTGATTGGTATGCTGTTTGTGCATGTGTCACAACTCTGAGATCTAAGCATTTCTATAGAGACTAAAGATTAGAGAGTAAATTACTTTCCTAAGATTCTATAGGTGGTAATAATAGAATCAAGATTTAAACTCAGGATTTCAGGTGCTACCATCAATGATATTTCGTCAGTATCAGTGGTTCTCAAAGTGAGGTCTCTGGACAATAGCATCAGCATTACCTGGGAACTTGTTAGAAAAGCAAATTCTTGGGCTCCATCCCAGACATACTGAGTGAGAAACACTAGGTGTGGCACCCAGCAGTCCTTTTTAAAATTCCTCTCGGTACTGATTCATGCTAAAGTTTAAGATTCACCAATCTGGGTTAATAGTTCTCCCATTTCTCAGGTTAGTATCTCTTTAATTGCTTGTAAAACTCCTTAAGCCCATCCTGCGCCTCAGGCCAAATGAGAATCTGTGGGTCTGAGACTCAGGTAGCACTAAAATAAATTTCTTCAAGTGATTCCATTGTACAGCCTTTGTTGAAAATGTTCTATGGCATTCAAACCTACATATTGTTTAAATTATTAAATCACATACAGACATTGCTCCAACCAAGATCAAGAATTTCACTTGGGCAATATTACAGCCCAGCTCTCTGAGCTTCTGCCCCATGTGTAGACGTGGAGTGAGAACTGGAACATTCTTTTGCTCCTGATGTGCTAAGGACAGAGTGATCAGCCTCCAGCAAAATGTATGATTAGTATCTTAGCTTATGCATCCATTAAGAACCAAGTATAAGGTATTGAAGATACAAGGGAACCAGAAAGGTTCTAGGATGCCCATCTTAAAGGTGAGAAAATCAAGGCTCAGAGAGGTGAACTAACTTACTTTAGTCAAACTGAGACTGTGGCAGACATACCTTTTTGTTTCGTTCCTGTTGTGAATGTTTCCACTAGATGAATGCCCACAAAATTATCATTTTTTATTTCAGTACAATTCCATCTTCTCTCTTGGACTTTGAAGAAAGACCAGAACTGATAGACAGCTGAAGGATACTGCAAGCGTCATGATTAGAATGGGAGATTCCATTTAACAATCTGAGAAAGACTTAATATTCAATCAGATCAGTTCTTTCAATTCCAATAATGTGTTTTTGGCAGTGGGTATTCTTTTTATCATGTAAATAAGCAGATTAAAAATATATTTGGGTTTGAGGCCAGCCTGGGCTACACAGTGAGTTCAAGACAAGCCTGAACTACATAGGGAGACCCTGTTTAACAAACATACCAACAAACAAAATATATATGAATATATACATGAA